TCAAGCAACATATTAATGGATTCATCATTTAAATTTAAGTAGCTGAATACATAATGCCTTAAATGTATTACACAATTTGGAGGTACTGCACGATTCCAACTCCAAAACAAAAAAAAAAAACTTTTTTTTCTTCTTTTAAAGAAATACTTTAAAAATCATGCTAGACATGATTAATGGTGACATGGAGTCAACATGCTATTGGAGATGCACTTACTTGTGAAAGAGAGGCACCTTCTCTGTCTGCCCCAGTTTAAGCCTTTATGATCCCTGAATTTTACTAATATAAAGTCTTCCTAAATGTTTTACTACCTACAGTCTTTACCTCTGCTACATGGTCTATACCATGCTCTTAGAAAATGTTTTCAGGGGATCCCTGGATGGCTCGGCGGTTTGGCGCCTGCCTTTGGCCCAGGGCGTGATCCTGGAGTCCCGGGATCCAGTCCCGCGTCGGGCTCCCGGCATGGAGCCGGCTTCTCCCTCTGCCTGTGTCTCTGCCTCTCTCTCTCTCTCTTTCTGTGTCTATCATAAATAAATAAATAAATCTTAAAAAAATGTTTTCAAAAATACACTTACTCCCTTTCTCAATTAATTTAATAAAAACAATGTAAAGCATGATGGTAAGTTTATTTTTGCTCATCAGATTAGCTAAAATATATTGTATGATTGATGAGGAGTGGGGGAAATGTGCCTCTGCATATATTGGCTATAGTATAAACTGGCACCATGGTAGAGAAAAATGGACAATATAAAAAAAATTAAATCTCTGCACACCTCCAAATAGTTTATCCCATTTCTTGGAATGTATCTTACAGACATAATGGCATTTATAGGTGTGTGTGTATGTATGTGTATATATATATATATACGTGTATGTATATGCATATATATGTATATGTGTATGGATATGTATCTATATACATTATGGATATATCCATATGGATATACATTATATATGTATATATAATAGACATGTGTACATGTATATACATAGGTACACAAATATGTTTACTGCAGCACTGTTTATTAAAAAATAAATGAAAAATTTCAACTGAAGTCAGCTGGAATTAACTATTTGAATGAGACCAACTAAAAATCAACTGAGGGATGGTTAGGTAATTATGATATGTCCCACTCTTTTGCCAATAAAAATAAGGAGCAGATTTGTATGTATTAAATTAGAAGGGCAATCATTAGTCATCTAAGCAAATAAAGAAGTTTTTGACCAATCTGCATAGAATGATGCCACTTTTTGGAAAGAAGAGAAAGAAAGAGAGAAGAGAAGAGAGAGAAGAGAAGAGAAAGAAGAGAAGAGAAGAGAAGAGAAGAGAAGAGAAGAGAAGAGAAGAGAAGAGAAGAGAGAGAAGAAGAGAAGAGAAAGGAAGGTGGGTGGGAGAGAGGGAGGAAGAAAGAAAGAAAGAATATGCAACACCTAGATGAGCGTTTGAATAACCCGGTAACAGCCTTGCCAAGGCGGCAAATCAAACTAGCCATCACACTTCCCACAACATCGCCACCCTGTTTTGTAACTCTTACTCAATTTTCAGTTATCAGACATCCTTTCTTCTGAAGGCCTCCGCACCTCCAAATCCTGGACTTCAGTCCCTTATACCATCTCGCACTGCTCTCTACTCTCCTTGTTTATTATTTCTTCCCCACTAAAAGGCAAGTTCAGAGCTTTAGGAACAGTGCTTATCTTGATTCATTTCTGCATAACCAATACCTAGTCCAGTGCCTGGCATGGACTTCAAGGTTTTCTTTTCTTTTTTCCTTTCCATTTGAATTATTGTTCCTAACTAAGTTCCTATATAAGATAGAAGTATATAGGAATTATTCTATCAACAGAAATAATGAGAAGAAATCCTTACTCAAAATATAATAGAAATATATATACCTAAAAGGTGGTCCCATCCCCACATTAAAAAATTATACGGATCCCATCCCCACATTAAAAAATTATATATATCTTCTATGCAAGTATTAATGTCATATATCATGACATGTAACAGCCTTTGACTAAATATATTCTCTCACTAAGTAAGCAAAGTTGAATCTAAAACATTTGTGTGTGGAAAATAATATGATACATCTAATTACTGTGTCTCCTCAACCTCCTGGCCTCATTTGACACTTGACTTCATTGTACTACTCACTCCTTTTTGAAACTTTCTCCTCTCTTGGGAACTGTGCATTAGCAATAGATTGCTTCTTATCCTGTAACTTTGACCTTTCTCTATGTTTTGTGCTGTTTGAGTACAGTCAGTCTTACCGAGGTTCTCTCCTTTAGTTTCTCCCTTGGGCATCCCATCCACAACTTTGGCTTTAATTATCGGATCATGTCACACACACCATCTTCCACTCCATCCCTTGCTTCTTAAAATCTGTTGATGCCTTTGCATTGACCAAGAATGAAATCAGATTCCTTACCAAGGCCAATGAGGACCCAACTGATCTGACTGCTGCTGGCCTTTATGTCTCATTTCCTGCCCTCATGTCCTTTTCATCACTCTGAAGACAGACAGTATTTGTATCTTTGAACCCATCAAAATCAGTCCTACCCTAGGGCATTTGTAGAAGCTCTTCATTCCTCTAGAAAATATCTCTCTTCCTCTTGCCATTTAGGCTTCAGCTCAACACGTCTCCTGCACAAGGAGATTCCTGGTTACCCAATCTCAGTCTCTTGATGTGTTTCTTCAAGAACACATCATTCTATTTGATTTCTCTTTATCATCTATCACTCTCAAATCAGCTTGTTTGCTAAGTTAGTTGCCTCTTTTCTTTTTCCCTCCCACAAAACTCAAAGCTTTACGGGATTGGAATACTTTATTTTGTTCAACACTATCCTTAGCATCAACATCAGATGAATATCTTCCTTCTAAAACTAGCTTCTCTTTCTGACTAAACTCCTTTTTTCTGATTGTAATATCATTCTCACAGTCAGATGCTTGGAGTACTGCCTCCCCGTCAGGTCCAATTCATCTACGTGTACAAAGAATGTCAACTCCATATTGTCTCTCTCACCATCAAACTCTATTCTCCTTTTCATTGTCACTGCTTAAAGTGAAGTCCATACCACTTGTAAATGGATTATTACAAGAGTTACACTACTGACTTGCTTTGCTGCAGACTTGCTCCTGACTTTCTTTCTCAATTCCAGCTATCCCATGTCTAAATGGAAGGTGGAATCATAACAACTTCTGCTGGAAACTTTGTGTTCAACAGAACAAGGCCAAAAATTTACTCAGTTTTCAGTTCATTTACCACCATTCCACCAAAGCTAAAGTTGGCAATTCTATATTCCACACTAAGGTAGCTTTGTAAATGTTTTCCCACATGCATATGTTGCTGTGCACATGATGTCTTATTTCATATTGACTCTTCACTGCTTATCTCAATGCCATTGAAAATCTACTTCTAATCCTCCCAGAGATAACTGTTTCTTATTGTTCAATTGTCAAAATCCTTTAATGCAATTTGAGAGTCCCAGTCATTTTTATATTCCTTACTGTTGTCCAGCTGCATCATATATCTAGTAGCTTCTAAAATTTTTCCTCAATTTAAGTGAACACATCTAAAATTGATTATTTGCTACAAGAACTATGAAAAATACAAATTACTTCTCCATAGTAAAGTATTATGATAATTCAAATTATCTGAATATATGTCTATATATTTACACTTATCAAAAAAATCTATGTTTTTTAACTTCGATGGAAATTTTCTTTTTTTAAAAGATTTTTCTTATTTATTTATTAATAGAGACACAGAGAGAGAGAGGCAGAGACACAGGCAGAGGGAGAAGCGGGCTCTATGCAGGGAGCCCGATGCGGGACTCGATCCCGAGTCTCCGGGATCACGCCCTGGACCACAGGCGGCGCTAAACCGCTGCGCCACTGGGGCTGCCCCTTGATGGAAATTTTCAAGTATGTGAAAAATGACAGAATGAAGAAACTAAGCATCCATAACCCAGCTTCCAGGAATTTCAAGAATCACATGTAAAGGAAACTGAACATATCTGAGTGCCAGGAAGACACAGCAAAGGAGACAAATGTCACCAGATTAAGAAAAAAAATTAAATTAAAAATGTTGGAAACTATGAAAATAAAATCTATGGCAATATGCATACAATGTTCAGCCATAAAATTAAGATTTAAAAAATAATATCGATCTATAATGAGAACACGCAATTTATGTTTAAGTTTAAAGTTATAGTTTAAAAAACTATAATCTCAGATTCCACATGCAAATTAGAAACTCTTAGTGACTTTGGAATGAAGAAATTATCCCTTAAATCTAGTGAAATAATTAATAATACACCCGAAATATATAGTACTCCATATATCCATAATGGATTTCATGAATATAGGAAACTTTAAAGTTATAAATTCTTGATCTTTCCTAGGATTCCCCCAAGCTACACAAATAAGAGTTGTCTGACTTTTTCCTTTTTCTCATTTCCAACATAAAAACAATCAACAATCCTACTAGTTTTATGGCCTACAAGTTTCTTGAATCTGCTTCTTTTTCTCTGATTCCACTGCCATCATCATTTCTTGCCAGAACACTTTCAAAGCCTCATAGTCGGTATCCTTTGCTTCTTGACTAAAGCAAGATCTAAGCCACTTCTCTGCTTAAAATCCTAAACCTCATTTCCTATAAAATAAATGCAAACTCATCAATATGATATAAAAGCTCCTCCATGATCTAACGTGTATCTACCATCCCACCTTCCTTTCATACCACTCCATTCCTTGACCTCTCTACATTCCAGCAATACATACCATCTACTGTCCTCTGGACACAACATGCAGTTTCTACACTTTCTCTTCACTGACCCTCCTCTCCTTTTTTACTGCCACCTCTTCAGCCTCTAAGCTCCAGCTCAGGCATCATTTCTTCCAGGAAGTTTTTTCTGCCTTTCCTGCCTCTGCCAGCCTAGAGCCTATTTCTCCCCTAGTCCTACATTCATATTTGTTAGGGCCTTACAAATACTTCTAACACTGCATTTTATAATAGTTTTATAGCGAACTAACTGGCTCATATTCATCTTTGAATAGTTGGTGCTTATTATAGGGAAAAGTTTTCAATTAGCAATAATCACGGCTCAGATAAACCACATTGGTTACAATACCACCACTGTGCAAAGCCTGGTACTTGTTATAATTTTTGGAACTGAATATATACTTTCTGAATAAATGGGTGCAGGGCTTTCTGTGTCCAGGTGAGAACATAGACTTCGTGTTCTCATAACTATGAATTGGGTAATTGCTATGAAAATAGACTTTGGGATCCCACAGACTTGGATCTGAGTCTCAGCACCACTTTTTACTATGTGTATGACTTTTGAGATTTCACCTAATCTCAGTTTCCATGTCTATAAAATGGGTAGGCAAAACAATGTGGTGATAGTGTGTGGGGTACATGAAATAAAGCAATAGGAATGGTTCAGCATAGAGCTGACCACAGATAGATCTTCACATATGATAACTATTTGTATTGTTTTTTGTTATATTGCTGTTGTGGATATTGAGCTACTCTCATTTTCCTAAATACACTCGAACACTTCTAATCTTCCAGAAGTATCCTTTCTGGCCTGTGCCTTTACCAAGCCTGTGCCTATTCTTCTTTCCAAGTTCATTGTAAGTTTTAACCCCTCCATGAAGTTATTCAAGATTCATTCATCATGGGTTTGTTGCTTTCTCTCTGTATTAACATTGCACAATATGCCTTGCTATTTCATTGCATTTCACTTAACTTTTTCTGCACTCCACTACACAGAGAGTCTATTTTTTTATTTTTATTTTATTTTTAAAATTTTTTATTTATTTATGATAGTCACACACAGAGAGAGAGAGGCAGAGACATAGGCAGAGGGAGAAGCAGGCTCCATGCACCGGGAGCCTGACGTGGGATTTGATCCCGGATCTCCAGGATCGCGCCCTGGGCCAAAGGCAGGCGCTAAACTGCTGCGCCACCCAGGGATCCCCTATTTTTTTTTAATTTTTTTTTAAATTTTTATTTATTTATGATAGTCACAAACACACACACACAGAGAGAGAGAGAGAGAGAGAGAGAGAGAGAGAGAGACAGGCAGAGACATAGGCAGAGGGAGAAGCAGGCTCCACGCACCGGGAGCCCGACGTGGGACTCGATCCCGGGACTCCAGGATCATGCCCTGGGCTGAAGGCAGTGCTAAACCGCTGAGCCACTCAGGCTGCCCATGTAACTGTATTTAAATAGACTCTCTGGGGATCCCTGAGTGGCGCAGAGGTTTAGCACTGCCTTCAGCCCAGGGCATGATCCTGGAGTCCCGGGATCGAGTCCCATGTCAGGCTCCCTGCATAGAGCCTGCTTCTCCCTCTGCCTGTGTCTCTGCCTCTCTTTCTCTCTCTGTGTGTCTCTCTCATGAATAAATAAAAATAAAAAATAAATAAAATAATAAATACAGTGACATGTAATTAATTCATGAATCTGTAGCACCCAGCCATATTTGGTACATAGCAGGACCAAAAAATGGCATTTGTTGAGTAAACTGATGAAAAGATACATAAATTCCTAATACTGTAAGTTTCTAGATTTTTTTTCAAATGCAGAAGTGAATACTCTTCATTTTCCTACTTTGTGAAAAATAAAACTTTAGTTGTTGTATTAGTGTCCTCTTTAGAGTCCTCATTCTTGGGCAGTCCCGGTGGTGCAGCGGTTTAGTGCTGCCTGCAGCCCAGGGATCGAGTCCCACATCAGCTCCCTGCATGGAGTCTGCTTCTCCCTCCACCAGCCTCTGCCTCTGCCTCTCTCTCTCTCTCTCTCATGAATAAATAAATAAAATCTTAAAAAAATAAAAATTTGGGCAAAATTTATAAACAAAATTCAGACTGTACTTTCTCATTAATAATATCCCGTTATGCCAACACCATGCACCTTATCACTTCTCAAAATAGGTTTGCTTTCAGGGACTGATTTAGAGGAGTCAGCAAGAGGCGGTAAAAGGAACATGGCTGTGAGTTGGGACCTCGGTGCTGGTCCTGGTCACTTTCCCAATGATCTACTGCTTTTTAAAGTGTAGCTAGGTAGACAGGTTGATAAGTAGGTCTGTGTGAACAAAAATCCATGGTGTGAGTACACCATACACATAAAGAGCAGAGATTTGAGAATGTGAGAGCACTCTAGAAGTCCTCTAGTCAAGAAGTCTATGCTTCCATCATGACTGTGCTTGGGACTGTGGGAGAGGGGCCAGGGATTTGATGGTGGGGAGAAATACTCAGAGAATTGTTTTATTTATTTTATTTATTTATTTAAAAAAATTTAATTTATATATGATAGTCACACACACAGAGAGAGAGAGGCAGAGACACAGGCAGAGGAAGACGCAGGCTCCATGCACCGGGAGCCTGACGTGGGATTCGATCCCGGGTCTCCAGGATCGCGCCCTGGGCCAAAGGCAGGCGCCAAACCGCTGCGCCACCCAGGGATCCCAGAGAATTGTTTTATTTCTCTGTGCTCTGTCTCCCTGCCTGGATGGCTGTATGAGAACTGGGGGGTGGGGAAACCATGGGTGAGTACTGATCATGGCTGTAGAGAAGTCATTTGTTGCATAGTTAAATATCTACATAGAATTTTGGTTCAACTGTCTCATTTTATAGAAGAGGAAGCTGAGGCCCAGACAGTCTGAGTGACTTTGATATTTCATGACTATTATGTGGCAGGAGTAGACATCCCACGCCAATCTCAAGATTTCATGGCTCTGGTATGTATTTTCTGATTATGTAAGTTCTGTAGCACCATTTCAATACTCCCTTCTAATTCACCTGATAATTTATTTTATCTTCTTATTTTTTGAGCTACCCCATAGACTATTGCCTTTTTGATGTTATTATTTATAAAAATTGCACATTTTAAATTTTATTTGTTCTAGTTGCTAAAATTCTATAATAAAGAAACAGAAATGGAAATTCACTCCTCAAGCTACCTCCCACTCCCCAATTCTACCAACTGTGTTTTGTTCTGGACCTTTCTCTATGCAGTTATTTATGTATGTGCAAATATGTGTGGATACAGATATAGGAATAAAATATAAAAGGAAATATGTATGCATATATTTTGTGCTGACTACCACTTTTCATAGTAAATTCTCTGGCTCACTTGATCCATCACTTGCCAAAGTTGGTGTTATCATATGCCTACTATGTTCCAATCACTGTCCTACAATGTTTAGGATAAGCTAACATCCAATGTTAAAAATAGAAACATTAACAACTAACAACCGCTGCACATTTATGGTTTTAATAATGTTTGCATGACACCAAAATTTCTGCACATGTTTAAAACAGGAACAAACAAGCATCACAATCTTTATTAATATCATTGTTATCTTTAGTTCTGCTTATTGAATTCTGGATCCATGTGTGGGTCTTTTTAAAAATTATATGTGACATAAATTCACATGAGATATAAATTCACATTTCATGACTTTGCCAGCAAATGATTAATTCACTTATTGTGTGAGGGTACTGTTTATGAACCAATATCCCCACTTTTTATTGCTTTTGATGGAGCAAATGGCATTCTTCCAAAATTTACTGTTTTGAAAGAGCATATACCCAGTATACTATAGAAGACAGGGTATGAACCACCTCCAGCAAGGTACAGGGTTGGTTAATGTTTCACATTTTCACCTCCCCTGCCACTGGAAATCACAATACTTGACACTGGGTTACAAAATTATTAAACCTTAAAGTAGCAACACTTCCTTCTCCGTGTGAGACCTCACTTCTCCTTGACACTTTACTCCTAAAATCCCTTTAGGCTCCTGGCCTTTTCTCTCTGCCTCTAACCCCCGTAACTAATTAAATCTGGACAAGTCTTCGGTGAAAATAGTTTTCCTTCAAAGTTATTCATTCAAAGTTCCCCTTAAGGCATTCTTTGTCACTTTAGCCTAGCCTGCCATCTTTACATGCAGTTGAAAGAGGTAAGCTATTTTTATAAAATAAAAAGTCTTTCAAAACCTAGGTCTACCTTGATGTTTCAGATAAAGACTACATCCTGAAATATGACAAATGCTTCAACACTGTTAAAAGTTTACAAGTAAACAACAAATTCCAAAGACTCTGGTCTCATTTAAAGACAGTTAAACTAAAAAAAAAAAAAAAAAAAAAAAAGAAAAAGAAAAGTACTATTATATTTGGAAGTACTTTTGTTGGGGTCTATAAATGAATTCTTTGACAAAAACGGAAAAGGATTAACCAACTAGTGTAGCTGAACTTATTCCTAATAAGTTTGTTTTTGGAATTATGTCGGTCCTCAGAGTTAAGCAGCACTATTAATAATGTTACATATTTAGAAGAAAACAAAAACGAAGATCAAAGGAAATAAAACTGGAAATACAGCACTACTAAGGTATTTTCTCTGCTAAGATCAAATTAAAACTTGTCACATTGCCAATTTAAACCTTCTTCTACATTTTAAAATTAACAGGAAATATTACTTTTTATTTTGTTTAAAAATGTAAAGATCAGTCACATACCATCTGCTGTTGATCCAGGGTACTCAAACTCTAGGGCAAAAGATTGAATGAGATTTAATGATGGGCTCCACCATTACTTGCTCAAAGCCAGAGACTCAGTCTAAGAAGATGTGAAGGAGGTTTTCTTTATGAAACTATTTTAAAAAAATATTTAATGATATCATATTGCCATCTCATTTTTTATCTACCCTATGGATGCAACTTTTATAATAAACTTCTTATGCTCTTCTTTCTTAAAATTTTTTTGTTCATGAGAGACACACAGAGAGAGGCAGAGACATAGGCAGAGGGAGAAGCAGGCTCCCTGCAAGGAACCCGATGTAGAACTTGATCCCAGGGGATCCCTGGGTGGCGCAGTGGTTTGGCGCCTGCCTTTGGCCCAGGGCGCGATCCTGGAGACCTGGGATCGAATCCCACGTCGGGCTCCCGGTGCATGGAGCCTGCTTCTCCCTCTGCCTATGTCTCTGCCTCTCTCTCTCTCTCTCCCTCTCTCTGTGACTATCATAAATAAATAAAATTAAAAAAAAAATTAAAAAAAGAACTTGATCCCAGGACCCCAGGATCACAACCTGAGCCAAAGGCAGACCCTCAAGGACTGAGCCACCCAGGTGCCCCTCCTTATGTTTTT